CAAAAGGGAAGTTAGAGCACAAAATAATGAACAGATCCTCTTTCTAGGGCTAAAGAGAAAGTCTTCAAAACGTTAGAAAAAAGATAGAAAAGTTGTTTGTAGTCGATTTGCTCACTTAAACTATAATGGAGTTCAAAAACATTTTCAACAAAAAATGAGGTCATTGATACATTGTTGAACCTCGTTAAAACATTTTGATTTAAACTGAATCTAGTAAAAAAAAGGTTTTAGATTAGGCTAAGACCAATATATTCGAACCTACACATCCAAATGGTATCAACTATCAACCCCTCAATTCTCAAAAGGTTACAACAGTGAGAGATCACTGTAAATTTATCTCAGTTATATAAAATTTGAAGATAAAAAAAAATCACAATCACAAATTGGAAAACTTAAAAGCGACTTGAGAGTTGAGATTGGTTCTCGTCATAAATATTTTCAGTTAAGACACAAGACACATCATATGACTTTAATAAATTCCACAAAATCTTCCAACTTTCACCAGAACAAGCCATTCCCCAAAACAGTAAAAAAGCTCTGTTTTGCTTCAAACCCAAAGATTCACTGTCTGAATCCGTTACAGAGAAGCAAAGTAGATACCAAATTTGGGACAACTCAACCAGCAAAAGTTTTAAATCAAATGGTCAAACACACAACAGACTTGTTAAGCCACCCAACAGCATTTACAGTTCAACATCATCTCAGCCACCAAACTTTAACCTAAAGTTTTGGCCTTTGACACGTCGGGCTTTATCGATCACCCGAATCCCTTGGCCGACCATTGACCATATCATCTCTTCGTTGTTCAAAATCCAAACGTCGAAATGGGTATACGAAAGGGAAAGCCTTTCTTGTCTTCCTGCTGCATCTAAAAAGATGAACCAAAAAACTTCAGGCTCCAAGCAAATGAAGCTTTTCTTCCTTTAAGCTTTTTACTACATAGTGAAAAGCCTTCATTCAAAATCTTGATGAACATAGAACCTGAAAAATTTATACTTGTTGAATAGAAACACCAAGAGAGAGACTACAGACAAACAATTGTTTGTGATTCTGTGTAGTTATGTTACATAAGCAATGTAAAGTGAAAATGCAGCTTCCTACTCCAACACCATATTACCAAATCAATGATGAAGAGAGAAGAAATCAAGAGATTCTGGATTTGGATCATTAAGAATCATCAGCTTTAGAAATGTTAAAATATGTAACAAAGGGGTGGATCTTATATAAGAAACAGATAAATGAAACCCAGATCTGATTCTTACAGTAACAGATCTTAAACACAAA